GCAATTCCTGTGCAGCTTGTTGTGTTGAATCCGGTACAGTATATATTAAATGCATGTATCAACTCTCCATCTAAGTGTTAAATATCTTCTTGCATATTGAATTCCTTGATACCAGAGAAACTCATCATAACAAACAGCCACAACATTCATTACCAGATTCAGCTGAGGTATAGAGCTTAGGGAATTATTTGTACCAAATACAATGGTCTTAGTTTTAGAGATGTGCAGGACCAGTTTATGGTCCTGAACTCCTTGTTAAGGGTTTCATAGCAGCCGTTGGATGCAGGGAGTGCACTGCCGGCGTGGAGAAGACAGGGGCAGTGAGAGAGAGCGGGGGAGATAGCTGGTCTGCTGGGCCATCGGGGTAGCTGTAGCTGCAGGGACTTAGGCCGTGTCGGATGGCAAATTGTAATCTGAGGCTGGGAGAGAAGCCAGGTCCAGAACTGGTTTGGGGGCCTGGGTCGAAGTCTTTGGAGGCCTGATCTGAAGCTTTGAGGCCGAGTTGGTGGTGTTGGAATGAATATGTGGCAGTGGAGGCTGCAGGGGATGTCGTCATGGTGGCCCTCAGGTGCGTGGTGTCATGCAGTATGCAACATGGGTGGATGTGGTTGTGGTCCCGGCAAGAGGGGCAGCCATAGTCAGCCGAACGGAGAGGAGGAGAAGTAGTTTAGTGGAAGAAAAGAGGCATGAGGCAGAGAGCAAAATAACAAGAGAGAACAATCATGGCTGGATGGACGCCATGCAATTACATGAAGATGGCATTTCTAGAGTGAGAAGGCCGGTCTGCAGGATGACAGGATGTGGCCAATATGGTGAAGTTGCTACAAATTAATGCAATCTGATACTATGTGTGGCCTGCCATCACATGGACTGGCAGACGTGACCCTGGACAAGCTTTAATAAATGGCATAATGAAGTGCCAAGCAGCTTTTATCAATGACTCTTACCGTGAATGGAAATTAATATGGAATTGTATTGACAATGAATTACTGTACCGGCGATGGTTGAATAGCCGGGACTTGGAAGACATGGTTGGCAGCATGGCCTCTCGGCTCCACCAAGGAGCACACGGCTTGCATGTGGCCGGGAGATGCACTGGTGCGTTCGGTGAAGCAGGGCCGTTGATAGTCAGGAAATGCGCTCCGGAGAGCACGCTGGGAATGGGCCACGGAGCAGGCTGGCTTGGCGGAGAGGAAATGTTGTGAAAGCAGGTAGCGTGCTGGTCCGTGATATGAGAGGAACGAGGGATATAAAGAGCCTGAAGACAGCAATTGAAAACAAAATAAAACTCTATAAAGCATGAAACGCCAAGAGCCAACTGATTTCAAAAAGAGATGTTGAGAGTCGAACAGAGTAGAGGTTAGTGAACGAGACCTGAAGGGAGAAGGTGCAAGACTTGACAAAAGATTACAATTAACTTGCTGAGTCGAGATTCAACAGCTGGTGCCTGTTGAATTGCTAGGGTGCTGCGTTCAAGGCAACTAGTTAAAGTATTGCATTCAAGTCTGGTCCTCGCTCCTGAATTTTTGTTAATTCGTAACACCATCAAACAGGAGCAAACCTACCTTGAAGGCTGTTGAAGAACGATGCACAGTTGTTTGGGGAATCGTGCCGTTCAGTACAAACCGTCACACAACATAGCAAAACGTTTAATGAACTGAACGCACCCTTGCCCTTAGAACAAGAAAAGGAACGCTCCACTGAGCAACAATGGCATTCTAAGTGATTTGTTTGTTTTTTGTTAATGAAGACAATTGTACTAGTCTCAGGATGATATTAATATTCTTCTAAGTAAAAAAAAAATCCTGATTGTGGCTTTAAGACAAAATCACCATTGCAAAAAAGTATGGTCACACACAAGGGGCTCTTTGCTAACTTTATTTTCCTTTCCAGACAGAATGCACAGACAATCAGCGAGGATGATAAATGCAATACATTTAGATATCCAGGTTTGTAAACAATGTATTAAATTAAAAACCAAACAACCATGGACCTACATATATATATATACATATATATATATATATATATATATATATATATATATATATATATATATATATATATATATATATATATATATATTTCTTTTGATTTGCTGCTCCTAGTCCAGTAAAGAGATTACGATATTCCTTGACGCATGGTAATTTAAATGGTGGCTAGACACTTGTAACCCTCTCCATTGCATGAAAAGTTGATTGTTGAAAGAATGTAGCAACGTTATAGTGGGCACCTATTCAGCCCATGAAGTACCTATTTTTCAACATGAGAAAAAAAACCAGATCAGACTATGAAAAACTAATTAACATGAATGTCCTAAAACACAAACGCTCTCCCAATAGGCTCAGCAGGCCACAAATAATTCCTCATTGTTACAGTTGATCTGTTTATTTAACAAATAAACTAACAAAACGTTTGACTAGTCTTTTTCATTTACATTTTTCTATACAAAAGCAGAAACAATTACATCCAAAACATTTTTCCTGTTCCATTTCACTCATGCCTCATGCATGATTCGATCCAATCAAGTACATTAGTTTAATGTGATTGACGATGATTCACAGCCAATAAGACAAGACGATGGATGTCACACGGTGACAGGATAAATGGAGGTTGCACATTTCAATGTGATCCAGCAGGTGAAGCAGCCAGGCTGGCTAGCTTAGCACTCGAGCAGCAGACAGCCAATGGAACGTCAGGAGGCGACGGCAAGCACAGAATCATGGTAAAGAAAACCCAAATGGGCCACTTTTGGCACAGTCGGCGTGGTGTCTTATCACATACACTCATTTAACAAAAAATATACAACTAATGATTGTTAAAAAAAACTACATCATCAAAAGGAACATCTGATAACCTTATAGTTCTACGATTTGATTACAAGTCGAATATCAATTACACAAGTGCAAAGTGTGCTAATTTGAACATATTCAAATATATAGAGACATAAAGCATATTTTTAGCAGTGATAAAAAGGGCATTGACATGCTTGGTCTTTTCCGGATTGTCAGAGAACAATTTCAGAATGACACATGAAAATGTATTATTTGATACAAGTACTTTTCTTATCAACTGATTTGGGAGGAATGATACAAAACACAGTATCCAAACATCTCAGAGTTTTTTAACAATAACTTAATTTAAGCCGCAAGAACATTGACTCTTTAGATTTGCCCTGTTCCTGTACTTATATGATGCTGAAAACTGTCTTAACTTGGGTCATTTGGTAAGGTAACTAGTGTAACCTCTATGTAATAAGCACATTGTTTATATACTTAATTCACTCTCAATCTAGTTGAAATTTGACTTTGCCTGATTGCGATGGGGGTAATCAAGATGTACAGTACGGCCATTTAAAAATAAGAAAATACCACAACAATGCACGTGTCATGTATTTGGCTACAACAACAAGCTAGTGCCCTCAATAATGGAGTGAACTCAAAGCAACACTGTTCTCTTCTCGACGCAGGCAGAAACATTACTATCTTAATTCACATAGGACTTAGGGCCTGCCAAGTTTCATTTTGTAAAATGTCTCATTCTGGTTTACAGACTGTACTACTATCAGTCCTACAAATGCAGTGGTTGGGCAATATTTCTTGGTTCTTAATATACATCTGGGTAATCAAACATTTTTTTCTCCCACATCATTTTAGAGAACCGCAGATATTGATATGAGCGCGATGCAAGACTGCTCTCCACAGTCACACAGAGTATCTGTGCATGTGCTCAGGTGCGCTTCACACTGCTACAACGTGGTAGCTACAGGACCAAAACAGCAGAGAAGTTTAGCCCCGTGCTTTAACACTCTTAGTTGTAGTGGAAATTGACCTGATATTCTGTTTACTTTGTGCACCGCTGAGTCTACCTTTAACATCGGTCTTGAACACGCATAATGAAAGGCAACTGACTAGGGGCTTACATCCGAGTGAGCACCTAAAGTAGTCTTTCTTTCGTAGCACTATGTAGCATTATGGGTACCTTCAAAATCCGTCATAAAAACAGAAATATGGAGTCTGCTGCAAATGAACACTGAGCCATTATAATTAGACACGTAATCTCTCTTTTAAGGTTGGGGTAGTAGCGTTCACATTTTTGACAAAATGCATAGCTAAGCTGTGGTTCTCAATAGTTTTCACTGCAGAGCAACAGGGCGAAGACCTTCAATACAGACCTGTTGACTCAGGTTTGTGAAGGGAATACGATGCCCGGGGACAAATTTGGGCTTTAGCACCACTTTCCTTTAACACTTGCGAGTCTATGGACTAGCTAGCTCCTAGATACACTATTACAGTGTTCGTCGGGCAAGCCACCACAGTGGACTTGGCTTGGCACAGCCACAGCGTGAGACAATAGACGTTGATACACAGCGGGAGAGATTTCAGAAGTTTACGATGGATGGGGGAAATGGGAAGGCGCCACAGGTGCACTAGGCATGGATAATGGGACACGCCACAGTGTTGATAGTGGATAAAGGGAGGGGGGACGACATAGACGACACACTGCACAGGGTTATGATGGATGAGCAGAGGGCTGCTTTTCAGAGGAATGGGGAGAGTAATCGAAGTGTTACTTGCATAAGCTAGTCTGCTAAAGGAAGGTGGCCTTATCAATATCAATATCAACTAAATAGGTGTTTGTTGGTGAGTGTAACTGAAGTGTTCCTTCAGTACATCATCTAAGCTGCATTACGCCCCACTCTGGCTCACAAGAAACAGCAGGAGCATGGGATAGAAACTAGGAGCTGAAAGGAATAACTCAATGGGATAGAGAAAGGGAACAGAATGGGCGGGTGGGGGGTACGTATAAGCCACAGCTTCTGATCTACGGAATTGAGAGGCACAGGGAGCATGAATGAGAGCTCGATCACCATGCATGCAGGACACTGGACCACCACAGAACAAACAAAGCACTTTTTTTAAGGCCAAGAAGCACAAGTACCGACACACAACCCCACATCCACCTTCCCTCGTACCAACCAACCCCGCCCTCCACCGCTAGAAGCCAAAGTCAAAAACTATCTGGTCTTCGAAGATGGCAATGAGCAGCATGATGGAGAAACCGGTGAGTAGGCCAAGGTTCTGTAGGACAAAGTGGCCCAGCTGACAGCGCTTGTGTTCTTCGCTGTCGCCGTGGAGCATCTCTGGTAACTAGAGAGAGGGAGCGAGAGGTCAGAATGTAGTCAGACACCATACAGGCAAATGAAGAGGGGACTACACTGTATTAACGTTAGACACTAGGGGGCGATAGAGGTGATTCAACTGTAATGGACTTTGACATTAGGTCAGGTGTTACCAAACCTTTTATGCCCGTGACCCCATTTTGATTTCAGAAAATTATTGCGACCCCACCATGAGAAAAAAGTTACGTAATCAACAGCCAGCGTTTACTTCTCCATCTGGGGCTATGACATTCAATTACAACTAACTGTAAGTCGCTCTGGATAAGAGCGTCTGCTAAATGACTAAAATGTAAAATGTAAAATGTACAATTCAGCCTGACAGTATTTCAATCTCAAGGAAGTATGGTTTGAAGTGACAAATGCACCAGAGAGGTATTGGGAAATTCAGGAAAACACCAGGGAAGATCATTGTGTGGAAAATAACCCCCCAAGTCACTTTGTTCTGATTTGATGCCTAGTCCCGTTCACATGAGTCCTGAGCTTGTGAACGTCGTAGAGGTACGTGTTCCTGAGAGTCTTAGCTTTCAGGAATCAGGTCATAGTAGCTTATAGCTCCAACCACTCAAAAGTTAGAGCCAAATTTGTAGAAAAAACTGAAACCGCTCTGTTTTTCCCAACCGCTAATAGCTTTCACGTAACCTCGGTTCTATGGATTAAGCGGCAAATTCAGTTGACTACAGATTAGATCTTTTTTTTCATGCAACCCCATTTTCAAATCAGAACCCCTAGTTTGGGAAACTCTGCGTTTGGGGGTGAAAGAGATAATTTCACTGCATAGAGTTGGAAAGAGCCCACCCCTATTTTTACTTCTGTGACAGCATGGGCAGCGCCATTAAGGACAGTCTCCATTTTACAGTAGTCGTCAATTTCTTCTTCTACAAGTTTATTGGTGGTCCGTAAACAAACTGAAAAGGTGCATACCACCACCTACTGTGCTGGAATGTGTTTAGTCTGAACAGGCATAAAGCCAAGGTTTGGTAATTTCATGCCACCTGCAGTGCTGCAATTTGCTCAGGAGAATAATTAATTGGCTGATCCTTCCTGCGAACCTGTATGTAATTCTGTAATACCTCTTTAAACCATATGAGGTCCCATCCAGTCGACTACTTTACAATGGTGAAAGCATTCAATGGCACTGCCCATGTTAAAACAGGTTTTGTGAAATGGTTGTGATTATGTTTCACTGTACAACTAACTCACCATGTCCACCAGAGCCACATAGAGGAACATGCCAGCGGTGACGGCGAAGATCCAGCTGGTGACGTTGTGTGTGTACTGGCCCACGGCTGTGCCGATCATCATGCCCACGTAGGCCATGAGGGCAGAGAGTAGGTTATACACAATGGCCTGTTTCACCGACATGCCAGCCTTCAGCAGCACCGCAAAGTCACCTGCAGCCAGAAAAGCACAAGGAGGACCGGGTAAGGATAGATGGGCTGGCCAATACGCATGTGATCGTACTCACTCAGTCACTCACCTCACACTCACTGTATGCAACCATTTGTTACACATTGATACCCACAAAATTGTTACTTATTGATCATCAGCTTTTCTGCATCAGATGTGGTGAGAGAGAATCTTAGGCAGGAGATGTTCTTTAGGTGAAAAATAGTTTTACAGACGTGACTAATATGGGCATTGAAGGAGAGGGCAGGGTCGAATTTCATACCCAAATTAGTGATGACTGAGGAGAGGGGGATGATGCAGCCATCTATGACAGGGTGGATGTTGCAGGAGTTGGTGATCTGCTGGGGGGTGCCTATCTGCATTGCCTCTGTCTTGCTACTGTTGAGTTGTTCTGCATCCAGTTGGCCAATGTTGACAGAGCAGATGTTTCACGCTTTGTGTCGTCTGCATAGCAGTGAAATTGCTGTTTGAAGATCTGGCCAAGTGGGAGCATGTAAAGCAGGAAGAGGATAGGTCCTAACACAGACCCTTGTGGGACACCCCAGGTTATGGTGGACTACTCTGATGTTGCCTCACCGAGGGTGACGTACTGCTTGTGGTTAGAGATGTAGGATGTGAACCAGTTAAGGGCAGTCCCACAGATGGCAGTGTGCTCTCAGAGGTGCTGCAGTAGAATGGTGTGATCTACTGTGTCAAAAACAGCAGAGGTCCAGAAGAATCAAGATTGCGGGGGATCCTGTATCTGCAACCATGAGCAGGTCATTTATAAACTTCACCAGGGATCTCTCAGTACTGTGGGGTAGGAGCCAGAGTGGGGTTGGGGTTGGAGGATACAATGTCTTGTCGGATGGTGTTGATTTTAGCCTTGAATAACTCAGAAAATCGGCAAGCCTGGTTGTCTTTATAGGCCAGTAGGTGGACAATACTTCTCCAAAGACGCTCTAAACTGCTACCATGGGTCTTCATGCTGCGCAGCTCTTCTGTGAACCATGGAGAGGACCGTTGGAAGGATACTTGACATGTTTTTTCAGGGGCAAGGCTGTTTAAGGTGTTGCTTAGAGTGATATTATACAGGTCAACCATTTCGTCAGGGGTGGACTCAAGAAAGTCAGCTTGTAGGGTATTATGAACAGACTCCTGGAAGAGAGATGTGTCAAGGGACTTGATGTTTATGAATTTAATAGTGCGCTTGGGGCGGAGCTCAAGTGCAGGAGTACTCACAGACATCGTCACGGCCCTATGGTCAGATACACCTAGCTCATGTACATCCAGGTCTGAGGCAGGGACTTCTCCAGTGATGATGATGTCTAGTGTATGCCCATGATTGTGTGGGGACGTTGACGTGCTGTACCAGGTTGAGACAGTCAAGCATGTTCAGGAAGTCCGTAGCAGAGTAACATTTTGTTGAATCAATGTGAATGTTGAAATCACCTAGGATAACATATGCACATACACCATCCTCCTCACTCACTGCCAGTGCAGCACGGCTGTGGGAAGAAAGCCCAACTCTCGGCAGAAAAGCCTTTGATTCAGCGAGAAATGAATAGAGAGACGCTGACCTACATTTTCTCCCCGCCATACCGAGTGTTCTCTTTTCCCCGCTAATTACCACAATGAAAATATTATCACTCCGGTCACTTCGCATTCATCAATCAAATAAAAAGAGAGAGAGCCGTGGTCTCACACCATTGCCACTATCCAGTCTCCACTTTTACTTTGCTTCCTCTGTTGTTTACTGAGGACCATGTCTCGGTCGGTTCTGATCTGTCGTCACACACTCAAAGCCGCCCATCTTGGCCGTGTTGCCGGGTGCAATTAACACACCCATCACTGCCAATTAACTTCTCGGCGGGGTGTTAAAGAGCCCGGGGGAGGCTTTTGTCTTTGGAGCAATGGGAGAGCAGAGGTCCACTTTTCAAATGCGCTGGCGTCATTTGTTAGGAGGAGATGACTGGTCCCAGTGTCGATAGGGTAAGGTGATGTGAGGGGGTGGCAAGGCAGATGCTCCAATAGGGTTGGATACAATGCATCTTAGGCCAACTCATGTCATAGGACAACCTATAGAAATCTGATGCAATGCACCTTAAAAGGAGCATACAACAATGCAAAACTATTTGACCCTTAGATGCCCTAGATCAGGGGTCTCCAACCATTTCTAGTATGAAAGCTACTTTGAAAAAATGAAACATCACGAGCGACACGTTTTTTTCTAGCTTTCAAATAGGCACATTCGTCTCTCCTCTCCCCTGCAACTCTTCCCCGGATCCTTAGTGTACAATAGAAAGTAATGCATTATTTCTCTGTCAATATACAGTGAGGGAAAAAAGTATTTGATCCCCTGCTAATTTTGTATGTTTGCCCCCTGACAAAGAAATGATCAGTCTATAATTTTAATGGTAGGTTTATTTGAACAGTGAGAGACAGAATAACAACAACAAAATCCAGAAAAAAGCATGTAAAATTTTTTTTAGAAATTGATTTGCATTTTAATGAGGGAAATAAGTATTTTACCCCCTCTCAATCAGAAAGATTTCTGGCTCCCAGCTGTCTTTTATACAGGTAACGAGCTGAGATTAAGAGCACACTCTTAAAGGGAGTGCTCCTAATCTCAGCTTGTTACCTGTATAAAAGACACCTGTCCACAGAAGCAATCAATCAGATTCCAAACTCTCCAACATGGCCAAGACCAAAGAGTTCTCCAAGGATGTCAGGGACAAGATTGTAGACCTACACAAGGCTGGAATGGGCTACAAGACCATTGCCAAGCAGCTTGGTGAGAAGGTGACAACAGTTGGTGCGATTATTCGCAAATGGAAGAAACACAAAATAACTGTCAATCTCCCTCGGCCTGGGGCTCCATGCAAGATCTCACCTCGTGGAGTTGCAATGATCATGAGAACGGTGAGGAATCAGCCCAGAACTACACGGGAGGATCTTGTCAATGATCTCAAGGCAGCTGGGACCATAGTCACCAAGAAAACAATTGGTAACACACTACACCGTGAAGGACTGAAATCCTGCAGCGCCCGCAAGGTCCCCCTGCTCAAGAAAGCACATATAAAGGGCCGTCTGAAGTTTGAAAATGAACATCTGAATGATTCAGAGGAGAACTGGGTGAAAGTGTTGTGGTCAGATGAGACCAAAATCGAGCTCTTTGGCATCAACTCAACTCGCCGTGTTTGGAGGAGGAGGAATGCTGCCTATGACCCCAAGAACACCATCCCCACCGTCAAACATGGAGGTGGAAACATTATGCTTTGGGGGTGTTTTTCTGCTAAGGGGACAGGACAACTTCACCGCATCAAAGGGACGATGGACGGGGCCATGTACCATCAAATATTGGGTGAGAACCTCCTTCCCTCAGCCAGGGCATTGAAAAAGGGTCGTGGATGGGTATTCCAGCATGACAATGACCCAAAACACACGGCCAAGGCAACAAAGGAGTGGCACAAGAAGGAGCACATTAAGGTCCTGGAGTGGCCTAGCCAGTCTCCAGACCTTAATCCCATAGAAAATCTGTGGAAGGAGCTGAAGGTTCGAGTTGCCAAACGTCAGCCTCGAAACCTGACTTGGAGAAGATCTGCAAAGAGCAGTGGGACAAAATCCCTCCTGAGATGTGTGCAAACCTGGTGGCCAACTACAAGAAACGTCTGACCTCTGATTGCCAACAAGGGTTTTGCCACCAAGTACTAAGTCATGTTTTGCAGAGGGGTCAAATACTTATTTCCCTCATTAAAATGCAAATCAATTCATAACATTTTTGACATGCGTTTTTCTGGATTTTGTTGTTGTTATTCTGTCTCTCACTGTTCAAATAAATCTACCATTAAAATTATAGATTGACCATTTCTTTGTCAGTGGGAAAACGTACAAAATCAGCAGGGGATCAAATACTTTTTTCCCCTCACTGTACCTGGTAACATAATGGTTTTCAGTCTTAAAATGACAATTGTCCATTGAGAAACAACGGACATTGTTTGGCGAGCTACTCATAGGTGGGCTGCGAGCTACTCTTGTCATGAAGGGGTCCCTTGCAAAGAGACCTTGGTCTCAAATCGGACTCACTTTTTGTTTTTATATAAGCTTGTTTAATGTGTCAATTAGGTTAAATAAAAATACAATGAATATAGATCGTTTTCCTTTATTTAGGCTACAATTGACTGGATCGGGGCTAGTGTCTTTGTTTAACAGATAGTAGGCACTGTGCATTCTCTCCATTGCCCAACACATTGTCCTTGGGGATTGGATAATTATCCAAGCTTTTGAGTCAATTGTGAAATGAGTATTGGCAAAATAATGGATGTTGTTTGTGACGATTGATGGCCCTTCTCGGACTGGGAGTGGTGCACTTACCCAGTTCGTGAGGCAATTCGTGGCAGAACACGGCGACAGACGTACTGATGCCACCGGTAATATTTGCACTGAAGGCAGCACCTGTCAAAGAAACATTAAACATGTCACAAATAGAGTTTGAGAACATGTGAATTGGACAGAAACAAACTTTAAACCACATTAGTACCTTATAGCTTAACCTTTGCAGTTTACATTTTTGAAAATATATAATACACTGCTCGAGTTGTAAATGTTTGCCATAGAACATCGACACAGACTTAACTATGTTACAGAACAGTATAAACTAGTCTAATCTTATTAATTCAACTTTTACCTAGCCAGATAAGTAATTGACGACAAAATCTTTTACTAAGTGGTGGCTTAGTGCTCACCTATGGCCAGGCCGTCGCTGAAGTTGTGCATGCCATCGCCCATGATGACCATCCAGGCGATGCTGGCGATGCCCGCGTCTTTCATCTCCTGGTCCGAGTGGCAGTTCCCGCCGTGCGAGTGTCCGTGCCCACCCCCGTGAGAATGCCCGCCGTGGCTGTGCCCGTGTTTCTTGGGCCGGCGGCCATTCTCCTTGGTGAGCGAGTCTGCAGGGGCCAGTGGTGTCTTGTTGCTGGGCGAGTCGGGTGGCTGGAGCTCTGTAAGCTGGGTGTCGTTGTGGCCGTTGTCGCAGGAGATGGCCGTGCTGTCTGGACCTTGAGGGGGGAAATGGAGGAGAAAGCTGTTACTAAATGCCAAGTTCAGGATATACTGTATATGGTATGTCCTACAAAACACAAGCACACAAAGCTGGCAATACTTTTGTCATGCATAGTATTATCATCCAGTCTCACACAAATCTTCCACTCAGGTGCTTTTTAAGTGTGGTAACAATTCTACTCTTTTGTTAGTTGGAGTTCACTTTAGGACAGGACACCCTCTCACCCTCTGTGAGTGGCTTAAGATGAAGCCACTCAGCGTCCGAGCGTCGATTCAGCTTGTGATCTGACAGCTTCCTGCCAATCTTGGCCTCCTCGCCCCTCTTCTTCCTGCGACAGAAGGTGCCCTGAAGGAAGAACAAATGGACACGTGAATAGAAAGACACAGACTAGTTTGCTAGCTCAAGTATAGCAATTCACCCACACTTAAGTGATAATGCCAGAGAAGCTGGTGTTTGGAGGATAAACCGTGCCAATATTTTCTCCAAACACCGGCTCTGAGGGCATTATCACTTTTATACAACGGATTACCAACATACTCAAATAATGATTGACATGTTTTCATAAAAAAACATTACTTTGATGAATTTATTCATACCATTTCATCCTTCCACAAGATATAGTCCCGACACAAATCTAGGGTTGCTACCCAAGCCGGCTGGTCGTTCGCTCTATCGGTTCAGTTGCCAGAGACGGTGGTAACTTGTGGAATAGACACAGGCTGGAATGTGGTGTTAACCAATCAGCGTCCAGGATTAGACCCACCCATTGTATAATCCACAAGTTAACACAGGTTAATCTATGACGTTACAATTGGAGACGTTGGAGGTGGCTTATGGTAGAGAAATTAACATTAAGTTCTCTGGCAACAGCTCTGGTGGAAATTCCTGCAGTCAGCATGCCAATTGCACGTTCCCTCAAAACTTGAGACATCTGTGGCATTGTGTTGTGTGACAAAACTGCACATTTTTGAGTGGCCTTTTATTGTTCACAGCACAAGGTGCACCTGTGTAATGATCATGCTGTTTAATTAGCTTCTTGATATGCCACACCTGTCAGGTGGATATCTTGGCAAAGGATAAATACTAACAGGGATGTAAACAAATTTGTGCACAACATTTGAGAGAAATAAGCTTTTTGTGCATATGGCCATTTCTGGGATCTCTTATTTCATCTTATGAAACATGGAACCAACACTTTGTGTTGCGTTTATATTTTTGTTCAGTGTATATTTCTACACTTTGAGGTTGGAATAATACTGTGAAAATTATGATAAGGCCGTTTTAGTGTAGAATGTAAATGCTATTTGTTTCTTTAAGACCATTTTAATTGAAAACAATCACAGTAAGGTACTTCATTGTTACCCAGAAATTATTTGATATTGAGATTAAATTGGCTGCATGGACCTTTCAAAAAAATTGCAATAGCACCATGTTTTCATAAGTAGTTTTTTCATAAAATCCCAATTTTGGCATGTCCCATATCATGTTTGACCAACTTCTAGGAAGATTTTAACCCATTTAACCACAAGATTTTCACGAACATTGTAATGCTTTGGAGAAGTAATTTCTGAAGATTGACTTATTTCTAATGGTTAGTGATTAATGTATGTTTGTCCCTCAGGTTTAAGATCACCCTTTTAACTTGAACTGAACTATGGTAAAATGATTCCCTTTTAAAGTATAAAAAAAATAAAAAAAAATAAACATATACTTGTCAAATAATAGTGTAAAAGCAGGTGAGCTGGTTCTACTCTTTTGTGCAATTTTCTGGTGTTTTGTGGTGGAAAACTGAGTGCGTCAAGCATAACACGTCAATCCTGTTACCTATAGATAGATGTAGAAGTGTTTTAAGTTAAACATTTTAGGTGTTTCTTTTAAAAAACACTCACATACTCTGCACCATGCTGAAAGGGATGTTCAATGTACACTACCGGTCAAAGGTTTTAGAACACCTACTCATTCAAGGGTTTTTCTTTATTTTTACTATTTTCTACATGTAGAATAATAGTGAAGATATCAAAACAATGAAATAACACATATGGAATCAAGTAGTAACTAAAAAAAAAATATATTTTATATTTGAGATTCTTCAAATAGCCACCCTTTGCCTTGATGACAGCTTTGCACACACTTGGACTTTTCTCAACCAGCTTCACCTGGAATGCTTTTCCAACAGTCTTGAAGGAGTTCCCACATATGCTGAGCACTTATTGGCTGTTTTTCCTTCACTCTGCATTCCGACTCATCCCAAACCATCTCAATTTGGTTGAGGTCAGGGGATTGTGGAGGCCAGGTCATCTGATGCAGCACTCAATCACTCTCCTTCTTGGTAAAATAGCCCTTACACCGCCTGGAGGTGTGTTGGGTCATTGTCCTGTTGAAAAACAAATGATAGTCCCACTAAGCCCAAACCAGATGGGATGGCATGGCATATCGCTGCAGAATGGTGTGGTAGCCATGCTGGTTAAGTGTGCATTGAATTCTAAATAAATCACAGACAGTGTCACCAGCAAAGCACCCCCACACATAACACCTCCTCCTCCATGCTTTACGGTGGGAAATACACATGCGGAGATCATCCATTCACCCACACCGCGTCTCACAAAGACACGGCGGTTGGAAGCAAAAATCTCCAATTTGGACTCCAGACCAAAGGACACATTTCCACCGGTCGAATGTTCATTGCTTGTGTTTCTTGGCCCAAGCAAGTCTTCTTCTTATTGATGTCCTTTAGTAGTGGTTTCTTTGCGGCAATTCGACCATGAAGGCCTGATTCACACAGTCTCCTCTGAACAGTTGATGTTGAGATGTGTCTGTTACTTGAACTCTGAAGCATTTATTTGGGCTGCAATTTCTGAGGCCTGTAACTCTAATGAACTGCAGCAGAGGTAAGTCTGGGTCTTCCATTCCTGTGGCGGTCCTCATGAGAGCCAGTTTCATCATTGCGCTTGATGGTTTTTGCGACTGCACTTGAAGAAACTTTCAAAGTTCTTGAAATGTTCCGTATTGACTGACCTTCATGTCTTAAAAGTAATGGACTGTTGTTTCTCTTTGCTTATTTGAGCTGTTCTTGCCATATAGGGCTATCTTCTGTATACCCCCCTACCTTGTCACAACACAACTGATTGGCTCAAACGCATTAAGAAGTAAAGACAGTCCACAAATTAACTTTTAAGAAGGCACACCTGTTAATTGAAATTCATTCCAGGTGACTACCTCATGAAGCTGGTTGAGAGAATGCCAAGAGTGTGCAAAGCTGTCATCAAGGCAAAGGGTGGCTATTTGAAGAATCTCAAATATATTTTGATTTGTTTAACACTTCTTTGGTTACTACATGATTCCATATGTGTTATTTCATAGTTTTGATGTCTTCACTATTATTCTACAATGTAGAAAATAGTACAAAATAAAGAAAAACCCTTGAATGAGTAGGTGTTCTAAAACTTTTATATTTTTTTATATTTTATATTGTAGCCCTTCTTTGCGAACCATTGGAAAACCTCCCTGGTCTTTGTGGTTGAATCTGTGTTTGAAATTCACTGCTCAACTGAGGGACCATACAGATAATTTTATGTGTCGGGTACATAGACAGGGTAGTCATTTAAAAATCATGTTAAACACTATTATTGCACACAGAGTGAGTCCATGCAACTTATTATGTGACTTTCAGCACATTTCAGCATTCCATTTTTTATTAATTTGTAAACATTTCTAAAAACATAATTCCACTTTCACATTATGGGGTATTATGTGTAGATCAGTGACACAAAATCTAAATTTAATTCATTTTATATTCAGACTAACAACAAAATGTGGAGAAAGTCAAGGGGTGTAAATACTTTCTGAAGGCACTGTACTTCCTACAATCTATTCTTTGACATGTGACACTCATATTCATAAGATATGTCTTACTTCCCAGGTATTCTGAGTACCAGTTCACAATCGTAAACACCTAGTGTTAAGTTATTAAGTTATTTCCATAGCATTTCATCAGCAATGGGTGCATGGCTCCTCCTTACCCCTGCGTCTTTGTAGTGTTTGAACATGCCGAGGCAGTGCTCAATGATGAAGAGGAGGTAGATTCCAGCCAGCGCTGTCAGGCCCTTCCAGACCCCGTCGAAGGCAGTGAGCATGTCCACCTCTTTAGTGTTGCTGTCGTTTCCCGACTCACTGTGGCTGTGGTCGTGCTCCCCTTGAGCCTGTGAGATGGGGGAAAAAAACACTGGTGGCACTATTTTATAGTCTTGTTGCCACTGGTATTTACTAGGAAATTGTGGTATAGTGTAGCCTGAGTACCAGTCTTTTTAGCTAACATTCTACTCGTTGCCACTCCTGTCATTTGCCAAAGAGACTGGCATTTCTTCAATCTTCAAATATGAACATTCTATCATTAATGAGCTCGAGGAGATCAGAAGATTTGATCATGAGTCGATAACCCTCATAGCTTTCCTCCAATCACAAAAGTTATGCAAATATTGGAACTATATAACTTTATTTTCTCCACAGATCGTGTAGGCAAAGACTTTTATAACTAACCCATGATAGACCACAGCCTGTCGTTTCCAATGGAAGCAAATTAATCATAGTGGGCAGAACAAGCAAGGAGGTGGGCAGAGCCAAGCTCGAGCTAGCACGATCCTATTGGCACGTTCTAGCATGTATTTGTATTTGAATATTTCCGTTAGGGAACGCCTACTCTGTGAAGTGTGAATGTGCGATAACCAGGGGTTAAAATAAGGTGGTCCGCTACAGTGTCTCGGCAAAAGAAAGTGGGGGTACGCCGTAGCGGTAAAACATGAGTCTATCACAATAATTAAAACAAAATGTCAAGAAAACTCTAGATTATTACACCACTTTTTATCATTACCGCATGTCAGAGGTATGAAGAATTTGCGAATGGACTTGAAAACGGGTGGTATAGCATACGCTCCAAAATGCGTTGTGGTTTGGCGAGAACACTGACATTTTGCCAAGGCAGAGCTGAGTGGCCGAT